AGATGTCTATTAGGTCTGCTTGGTGCAGAGCTGAGTTCAAGTCCTGGATATCCTTGTTAACCCTCTGTCTTGTTGATCTGTCTAATATGGACAGTAGGGTGTTAAAGTCTCCCATTATTATTGCGTAGGAGTCTAAGTCTCTTTGGAGGTCTCTAAGGACTTGCTTTATGAATCTGGGTACTCCTGTATTGGGTGCATATATATTTAGGATAGTTACCTCTTCCTATTGAGTTGTTCCCTTTACCATTATGTAATGGCCTTCTTTGTCTCTTTTGATCTTTGTTGGTTTAAAGTTTGTTTTATCAGAGACTAGGATTGGAACCCCTGCTTTTTTTTGCTTTCCCTTTGCTTGGTAGATCTTCCTCCATCCCTTTATTTTGAGCCTATGTGTGTCTCTGCACGTGAGATGGGTCTCCTGAATACAGCAGACTGATGGGTCTTGACTCTTTATCCTATTTGCCAGTCTGTGTCTCTTAATTGGGGCATTAAGACCATTTACATTTAAGGTTAATATTGTTATGTGTGAATTTGATCCTGACATGATGTTATCTGGTTATTTTGCCGGTTAGTTGATGCAGTTTCTTCCTAGCATCGATGGTCTTTATAATTTGGCATGTTTTTGCAGTGGCTGGTACTGGTTGTTCCTTTCCATATTTAGTGCTTCCTTCAGGAGTTCTTGTAAGGCAGGCCTGGTGGTGACAAAATATCTCAGCATTTGTGTGTTTGTAAACTATTTTATTTCTCCTTCACTGATAAAGCTTAGTTTGGCAAGATACGAAATTCTGGGTTGAAAATTCTTTTCTTTAAGAATGTTAAATATTGGCCGCCACTCTCTTCTGGCCTGTAGAGTTTCTGCCAGAGAGATCCACTGTTAGTCTGATGGGCTTCCCTTTGTGGGTAACCTGACCTTTCTCTTTGGCTGCCCTCAACATTTTTTCCTTCATTTTAGCCTTGGTGAATCTGACAATTAGGTGTCTTGGGGTTGCTCTTCCCAAGGAGTATCTTTGTGGCATTCTCTGTATTTCCTGAATTTGAATGTTGGCCTGCTTTGCTAGGTTGTGGAAGTCCTCCTGGATAGTATCCTGAAGAGTATTTTCCAACTTGGTTCCATTCTCCCTGTCACTTTCAGGTACACCAATCAAATGTAGATTTGGTCTTTTCACATAGCCCCATATTTCTTGGAGGCTTTGTTTGTTTCTTTTTACTCTTTTTTCTCTAAAGTTTTCTTGTTGCTTTATTTCATTAATTTGATCTTTAATCACTGGTACCCTTTCTTCCAGTTGATTGAGTCAGTTACTGAAGCCTGTGCATTCGTCATGTAGTTCTTGTGCCATGGTTTTCAGCTCCATCAGGTCATTTAAGGTCTTCTCTGCACTGTTTATTCTAGTTAGCCATTCGTCTAATCTTTTTTCAAGGTTTTAAGCTTCCTTGCGATGGGTTCAAACATCCTCCTTTAGCTCAAAGAAGTTTGTTATTACCGACCTTCTGAAGCCTGTCAACTTGTCAAAGTCATTCTCCATCCAGCTTTGTTCCATTGCTGGTGAGGAGCTGCGATCCTTTGGAGGAGAAGAGGCGTTCCGGTTTTTAGCATTTTCAGCTTTTCTGCTCTGATTTCTCCTCAGCTTTGTGGTTTTATCTACCTTTGGTCTTTGATGTTGGACAGATGGGATTTTGGAGTCAGGTCCCTCAGCTGCAGGTCTGTTGGAGTTTGCTGGAGGTCCACTCCAGACCCTGTTTGCCTGATCAGAACAGCAAATATTGCTGCCTGATCCTTCCTCTGGTAGCTTCATCCCAGAGGGGCACCTGCCTGTATGAGGTGTCAGTCGGCCCCTACTGGGAAGTGTCTCCCAGTTAGGCTACACAGGGGTCAGGGACCCACTTGAGGAAGCAGTCTGTCAGTTCTCAGAGCTCAAACGGTGTGCTGGGAGAACCACTGCTCTTTTTGCAGCTGTCAGACAGGGAGGTTTAAGTCTGCAGAAGTTTCTGCTGCCTTTTGTTCAGCTATGCCCTGCCCCCTGACTCCTGGAGGTGGAGTCAACAGAAGTAGCAGGCCTTGCTGAGCTGTGGTGGGTTCCTCCCAGTTCAAGCTTCCCTGGCTGCTTTGTTTACCTACTCAAGCCTCAGCAATGGCGCATGTCCCTCCCCCTGCCAGGCTGCTGCCTTGCAGGTTGATCTCAGACTGCTGTGCTAGCAGTGAGCAAGGCTCTGTGGGTTTGGGACCCTCCTAGCCAGGCATGGGATATCATCTCCTGGTGTGCTGTTTGCTAAGACTGTTGGAAAAGCACAGTATTTAGGCAGGAATGTTCCATTTTTCTAGTCACAGTCTGTCATAGCTTCCCTTGGCTAGGAAAGGAAAATTCCCCGATCCCTTGCGCTTCTCCGGTGAGGCAATGCCCCACCCTGCTTTGGCTCACCCTCTGTCCAACCAGTGGGCTGCACCCACTGTCCAACCAGTCCCAATGAGATGAACCAGGTACCTCAGTTGGAAATGCAGAAATCACACATCTTCTGTGATGATCACACTGGCAATTGCAGACCGGAGCTGTTCCTATCTGGCCATCTTGGAACGCACCGACATTCTGGATTTTTTGATCTTCTGTGTCAAGTTGAGAATTGGCCAATCAAATACTAATAAAACTCTGGTGAGATTTTGATTTGGATTGCACTGAATTTATGCATAAATTTGGAGGGAGATGCCATCTTTACAAAATGGAGTCCTCCCATCTATGAACATGGTATGTGTCTTTTTATTTAATTTAGGTATTCATTAATGTTTTTCAATAAAGTTTTATGATTTTCTTTACCAGTCTTGAGTATTTAGATTTATTTCTAAGTATCTTACAGTGTTGTTGCTACTGTAAACTAAAAAAAATTTTTCCTTAAAAAAAGCCAGCAAGGCATTTACTTTCTGTCATATAGAGCTGTTCAAAGGTAAGTATCCAGGATTGGTTGGGTGTATTCAATTATGTTGTTGAGGGTCCAGCCTCCTTTGTCTTTTGTATCATTTCCAACTTGTGGCTATTACCTGCTTAGCCACAAGATGGCTCCTCCAGTGCCAGGTATGGAGTCCTGATTCCTGGGAGAAGGCGAGGAAGCAGAGAGCAGAAATTAGGGAAACCAACCAATTCTTTCTGTTCCCAGTGAATTCTCTTGACTTCTCATTGGCTGAGAGTGTGGGTCGTTGCAATCCTCAGTTGCAAGGAAGGCTGGCAGTAGCGACTTAAAAACAAAACAAAACTGGATTTCTGTTAGTAAGGAAGAGAGAATGATGATTGGATTGACCACGGGTAGCCTCTTTGTTTCTAGCAATGCTCTTGAATAGAGCCATACTAATTTGTTTTTTTTCCCCCATCCTTTTACTATCTTTCTGTATCTTTGCTTTAGTTGTATTTCATGTAAATAGCATATGGATGAGTTTTATAAAAATACAGTCTATGTTTCAAATGGACTATTTTATCCATTTATATTTATTGCACTTACTCATAAACTTAATTTACAATCATCATTTTTTTTTTTTTGCTTTCTATTTATTTGTGTCACTTTAAAAAATATAGTCGTGCAGATCATTTAAGGGCTCAGTTGAAGGTAAATTTTTCCAGGCAGAATTTGCATTTGTTTCTGACAGGTGTCAGGGGTCACTACCATCTTGAGGACCTTTAAATTATTTTCTCAGGGTTTGGGGGTTTATTCAAGGAGTGGGAATTCCATCTCTAAGTCCATGTTAGGGCCGGCTTGTATTCATGAATCTTCATCTGACTCCTATCACCAAGAGTTTACTTGTCATCCCCCTCTATGGAGTGGATTTTTTCGCAATTCTTCTCTGAAAGTGAAGATGTATACTGGGTCCTTCACTGTAACTCTCCAGCTTAAGTGGCTCTAGGCTTCATTTATTGTCTTTCACATAGTTATTAAGTGCAGTTTTGGGTTGCAAGAGGTTGGCAGATGCCCCTAGGGCAGTGTGCAGGAAAGAGTTAACACAGAGAGTCACCCTTTACAAGGTTTTGCTACCCTTGGTTGTCTTCTAGGAATTGGGCTTCTGGAATGTTCCTATGCTGATAAGGTGGTTTTGTGTGCCTGTGTACTAAATTTCACTCTATCAGCTTGCCTAGACTGTACAATGTGATTTCAGGTGGACACCTGCTTTTCCTCTGGGAGTCTGGAATTGCAGTAGCTGTGCAGGTGGAGGAAGTGCCTATGTGGCCAGCTCTCAATAAAAACCCTGGTCTTTGAGTCTTAGGTGGGCTTCCCTGGGCAGAAACACTGCTGTATTACTGTGTAGCCTCTCACTGTGGGAGGATATAGGAAGCCTGTGCCCGGATTCTTCTAGAGTCTACCTAATGTGTTCTTTCCCCACCTTGTGTGTCCTTTTACTATAATATAACTTAGCCATGAACACAACTACATGCTGAGCCCTGTAGGTCCTTCAAGTGGAACACTGAGTATGTGGGTGGTTGTGGGACTAACACAGGCAGATACTGGCTTCCACTCTGAATTCTTGCCCCTACTTCTTCTATAGGCTTTGATGGCCTCCATCTTTTTCTTGGTTCATAGTCATGAATTTAAAAATACATGATTCATATTTTATACAGCAGTTTTAGGATTTTTTATGGATAATTTGTAAGGTTTCTATTTTGTCATATTGTTGGATGTCCTTTCTTTATTGTTGGATGTCCTATCAATGTTATGTTGTCTACTTAATCTTTTCAAACAGTCACAATAAAAAAAAAATCTAATTCTTAAATTGCCAAGCATTCACCTTCTTAAATGTTAGCGGTAGGGAGTGGGCTCAGAGTCTCAGCCCTGTTCATCCTTTATTCCTAGGCCTTTGAACCTACAGCCACAGGACCAGCCTCAAAGAGGTTCTAGCTCCAGGGCCAGCAGCTCTAGCCTGAGGCAGGAGGTTGGGGAGCTGTGGGAGGGTGTCTGAGGTTTGCCGTTGGCTCCTTCTCCACTTCCTCCTCCAACCAAGAGAAATTCCCTGGAATAACTAAGCGAGAACCTGGGAACAATAATATGAGAGTTTATTATCACATGACTGCTCAGGAGGGGACATGAAGCGGAGCAGGATGGGGAAGGGACGTAAGGAATGGGCAAGTGCTGCTGGAGCAGGGTTGTGGCCATGGTCATGGCTGCAGGATAACTGGGGATGTTGAAGAGTCTCTTTTCCCCAGTCTGGTTCTTCCAGCAGTCAGATGCAGGGATGCGCAGTGCAGAAGCACCAGGCGCTAATAATCGGGAGAGGCATGGCTAGATTCAGCTCACTTCCAACATCTCCTTCTGGTGTCTTTTCTAAGGGAAAAGGAAAGGCAAGACAATCGTGAGTGGGAAAGAAAGGGCGGAGTCTTTCCTCCAGGGCAGCTTAGCTCTGGAACTACCAGAATCAGCTGCATGGTACCTGATGCAAAGGTATAGCATACATATGGACTTCCCTGGATTCCTGGGCTCTTTGACTTGGGAGCCGCTTGGTTGGGGATAGGGGCTTTCCGGGCTGGGCCACCACTGGGTAGAAAGACAGGCATGATAATAGTTGGGACTTGGGTCATGAGCCCCTTTTTCCTCCCCAAACTGTCCGCTGTCCATTCCTGTCTCCTTTGAGCAGCTCCACTGCCCCAAACACACAGGCACACACTTTAGGGACTCACCCCTTTTGTTGGGAACTTTCTCCAGCAGTACAGCCACAGAGGGGCCAGAGATGCCAGAAACAGCAGAATCCAGACACCCAAGAGCATGGCCTGAAGAGTACGGGTCAAGGCCTGGGGACAGAGGGCCAAGGCCATAAGCACCAGGATGACAACTGCCTTCCTGCTCTGTCCTCACACTCCTTGTTGACCTGGGAAAATCTCTACCCCTTTATCTTCAAGTTTGTGGCTTCTGGAGGGGAAGTCAATGCATTTAGTGTGCAGAATGCAGCTGGAAACCCCTCACATTGGGCCTGCGTCCTCATTTACACAGTGACAGGTTTGGGCTATGATTTGATTCCCTGATAACCTCCAAGACTTCAGAGGATCAAGGGAAACCATGCATTTAACACCTTTGCAGCACTTTGCACACTTGCTATATTGGTTCACTTATTATTATTTTAATGCTTGTATTGCCCACTAGTCTGTAATACCCTACAGGAGCCATTTCTGTTTTGTCTGATGCTTTGTCCTTGGTGACAATACTCAAGCTTGGTGCAGAATAGGTAACAGCTATTTCTGGTGGAGAAGCTGACTCTTGCCCCTCGCCTGGCCTGGCCATCCCTGCCCCACCTGCTGCTGCACCTTCCCCTTGGCCACCTACCTTTAGCATGTACAGGAAGGAGGTACACAGGTGTAGCCTTCTGACTTCTTCTGGACTGTCAGTGGGGGCTGGGGTGATCCAGCCACTCGAGGTGGAGATGTGGCAGACACTGTCGTAATAATAGCCATATCGGAAATCTTCATTCCAAAGTTTGAGGGCAGCGATGGCTGTGGAGAAAGCTGCTAGCGCTAGCAGAGTCCTCAGCAGGGCCTGGGGAGGGAGGAGGCAGAGAGAAATCTTCATGTTTCAGTCTCTCCCAGAGTCCAATCGGGGGAAAATAGGGCAAGGCCCAGAGAAGCCTGCGACAGGGCAGGAGATTGGGGTGGCCTCCAGCCTGAACCTGGTCCCCTCCCATGCCCTTCCCTGAACTTACCCAGTAGGTACCACCTCGTTTCTCGTAAATGAAGGCAGTAGCTCCAGCTAGCACAGCCTGGGGAGAGATTGAGCCAGGAGCAGGCTTAGCACAGGAAATGCAAGTCCCCTCCGACGAGACAGCCTCTATGCAGCAGGCCCTTCCCTAGCACACTCAACTTGGGCCGGAGGTTTCATGCTAAGCTTTAGTATCCATGGTAAGATAACTGCTGAGAGGGTGGAGCCCGATCCAACTCCTGAGGCTGCAGAAGGTCCTGCTTTAGTGACACCTAAGAGCTTGTGGTCAAGCCAGGTGTGAGCTCCTAAACCTTCCTTTTTAAACAACACCAAGTGCTTTATGAAAGTTGCAGGGATGGTGGGATCTTGTGGATAAAAGTCATAGGGTGTTGCAGAAGCTCTCAATAAAGGATGAGTCTATACAGAGTGGGCACTATTAGGTTTAGAAGCCTGTCCTAACAGTGCCCAATGATCCACTCAGCTGAGCTTGAAGAACAGGAAATCTAGTATATCCCAGTGGACAGGTGGACCTGAATCCTGTTTGGCTAATTCTGTAACTAATCTGGGTATTTTGCCATGGGATGGGTGAAGGTGATTACTCTCGGCTTCTCTCAGTAAATATAAGAGTTTTACTGCTATTCTGAGGGTGTAGGTACCATGACCAGCCTACCCAGCTCCTGTGCAAACTGCGCACACCCATCTATGGACAATTCCTGGGTTCCCATTGTGTGCAGGGCCTGTGTAGGACAATGGGAATAACCAGGGGGTGATGCTTCCTGGGGGATCACATACTATCTGGCACGCTCTGCCTCCCCCATCTCAACGCAAGTATCCGGAGATGAGCAGGTCCTTAGATCCTTAGTTGACATTAACTGTTGAAGGCAGGGAGAGGCGGCCAGCCTGGTGGGAGCAGCACTGGGCAGGGTATGGGAGAGCAGTGTGACTAGGACATGCCACTACTGCCCTCAGCTGTTTGCTCATCTGAACAGGTAGGGAATGGGCCTAGATAATCAGATCTTTCCGACTGCCAGCATTCTGTGGCGCCATGTTGGAGGAAGGCAATCAGGACAGCAACACCCCACACTTCTCACAGGCAGTCAAGCACTGTCCTGCTCTACTCACCACAGCCCCTGTCCAGATGGCAGCTCCCGAGGTGACCAGGAGGGTGTAGTCGCGGATGTAGAAAAATCCTCCGAGGACTGCACTCAAGATCCCCAGCACAATCTGCATCACCTGAAAGACAAAGGACCCAAGATCCCAGCTCCTAGGTGGACCCCCCACTGCAGGGATTAACCGCTAAAACCCCAAAAAGAGAAGGAGAGAGAGAGAGAGGAGAAGAGAAAGGAGAAGAGGAAGAGGAGGAGAAAGAAGAAGAGGAAGGAGGAGGAGAAAAAAGAGAAAGGGAGGAGAGCCGGCCCATCCTGAGTTTGGCCGAGAGGAAAGGGCTCCACTGATTGGGACTCCGCACAGTCGGTGGCTCCTCCACACCCGTTCAGCTCAGAGCCTCCCCTTCCCAGGCTCTTATTGAAAATGCCAGAGAATCACATTCCTAAGTAAGAAGACACAACTGGCTCGGTGTCCTGTTGAGAGGGAGGCTGGCAGAGAGTGCTGCTGCGGCAGGAGGTGGGGAGTCCCTCCTGCCGCCCCACGAGGCAGGCCATCACACTCACCCACGAGGCCACCAGCAGCCGGCTGCTGCCCGTGGCCTGGGTGGCCCGGGGCTGCAGTGCAGAGCAGCAGGTCAGCAGGAGCTTGGCCAGGGCAGACTCCTGGTGGATGTGCACATCGACGTGGGTGGGTTGTGGGGCCTCCAGGGCCATCTCATTACTGTTGGCTGTCTCCATTGTCAGGGACACCGTGTGTGAAGAAGGCAGCACCAGGGAGGAAGGGCTGTCACTGGAGCTGGAGAAGTCAGGGACCAGTGGGTCACCGAATGAATGGCTGTCCTGGTCACAGAGCCGCACCCCTGCCCCCTCAGGAGGGGAGTGTGTGTAGCAGAGGGGGCTGCTGATCATGCTGGGGCTGCTGCGACCGCTGAGCCTGCGGGAACCTCCCCTTTCGCCCCAGATCTGCTCTGTTCCCCGCATCCTCCTCCCAGGGCCCAGGCGTCTAGGTCAAGCAGCGCCCCACGCCCCCACTCCTCACCCCCTCCACCCCGGCTCTTCCTGAGGTCTCCCCTCCACGGTCTGCAGGCTGTGAGACAGGACCGAGCCCTTGGCTGCCTGTGGAGCTCCTGTGGCAGCAGCCTCGCCCCGGCTGGGCTCCGGATAACCCCCTGCCCCAGCCACCGCCGACCTCCAGCTCCACCAACCGCTGCACACGCCCGACGGGTTCACGCCGCCCCTGCCCGGGGTAGGACCGCGGGGCAGTGCGGAGCGAGGTCAAAAGCGGGGGCGGCACCTGGCCTCCTCCGCAGTCCCCTTCCTGCAGTCTCATCCCTGGGTGGGGGTCCCTCCTACGCCCCTCCAGCTGTGCAGAGGCACCTTGGGGCGCGTGCGGAAGGAGTCCCGGGGGCAGCCAGGAGTGGGGCGCTGCCTCACCTGCGCTCCTCGGG